ACAACAAAAAGAAAACAAGATATTGATCAAGCTTTAACCAAAGCTGTTGTTGTCTGTAATTTATCTTTTCAACTTGTGTCACCGGAATGCGAATTGGGCCTTAATTCGCTGATCAATGACCCCGAAAATCCAGAGTAATATTTTATATCTTATTTTTATATTATCTATATTATTTATTTATTTATTTATTATTTTTAGTTATTTATTATTTATTTTTAGTTATTTATTTCATCTATTATTTATTTTTAATTTTATTTTATCCTATTTTTATTTTGTAATAATTTCCGAATGATTCAATTTAATTATATGAGTTCGTGTTACATTCCGCAGAAGTAATTAATTAGTAACACGTTCGCATTAGACCTTTATTTAGTAGAAATTAATGAAGATTATCCTGAATCAGGATATATATCTTAGATTAGGAGAATTATCCTGTGTACAAAGAAGGATAATTATCCTAGAAAGAGAGAATTATCCTAACTTGGGAGAATTATCTTGAATTAGGATAAATATCTTAATCTAGGCTAATTACCCTAAACTAGGATACATATAATCAAACATGTATATAAGGAATGAGAATTCACTGTAATTGAAGAATAACTTTGTAACAAATTAACTTAATAATAAGTTAATAATTAGTTTCAACTAAATACAAAATAAAATAAATCATTTTTATCAAATCACTAAAACAAAATTATTCGCTAATAATCTAACTCGTTAGTATTAGCCTATCCATTCTGATCCACATAAAATAATAAAAATTTGTTATCATCAATTAAAATACGCTCTCCCAAAATTAATTGGTGACACTTGTAGAAAACCCATATTTTATTGAATTTATAAAGAAGCTGAGAACAGCATATGAGCTTCCTTCCAGAAAAATGCTTTCTGATCATTTAATTAATGAATTGGGAAGAATCACTGTTAAAATGAATAAGCTTTTAAAAAACAGTGAAAATTTAACATTGGGTAATTATATAAATTTAATTATAAATTAATTTTTATTAAATTAATTTTTATTTATTCATTTTTGTTTATTAATTAATTTTTATTTATTTTAATAGCATTGGATGGGTGGAGTAACTCAAGAAATAATTCTCTTTGGAACTTTGTGATCCTTACCTCTGATCATAAAGAACATTTATATAAAATTAAGGATTTATCATCATTTAGTCACACCGGCAAGTACCTTTGTGAACAAATTAAATGTGTCTTTGAAGAAGTTGGAATCAATAAATTTGTAGCCATTGTGTCTGATGGTGGAGCAAATGTTAAAAAAGCAAGGGAAATGATTCATGATAATTTTCCATTCATACTGAATATTTGATGTGTTGCTCATTGCTTGAACCTGATCACAAAAGATATTGTGGCACATAATTTCCCAAAAAAAATAATTAACTATTGCAAAGTTTTAACAAGTTTTTTTAAAACATCTCATCATCCTGGAGGGTTACTGAATCAACTAATTAAAGAAAAAGACATTGAAGGTGGTGGTTTAAAAACTTTGGTAAAGACAAGATGGATCACCACTAGTGTTCCATGTCATAATCCAAAAAAGGAAACCAAAGTGGTTGCAAAGGTGGTTGCAACCAGGTGTCGCAACCCATTTTTATATGTCACAAATATGGTTGCAATCATCACCAAAGATTGTGACCAGCATCTATAATCATCACATATGAATGTTTAGCATCAATTTTATGTTTGAAACCTTGCTTTGAAGAGGTAATTAATATTTTATTTTTAAAAAATTTTTATAAGGAATAGTTAAACTAAATATAATTTAATTAATTATATTTACCTTGAAAAGATAATTTTGAATCATCATGATATTATCAGTAATAATTCAGTAAAAGTGATATTGCGAAGAAGAGGGTTATATGAAGATATACATGACATAATTATGGTGTAAAGCCAGTAAAAGAACTCATAATAAAGCTTGAAAGCAGAACTGTGAATCTAGGTGAATGTTATTTTAGTTTGGTCAAACTTGCAGCTTCTGTAAATAAGCTTTCACTTGAACACCATCAAAATTTTTGTAATCACTGTATTACATATCCACCGATTTCTGCAATGTTACACGATTTCAGGCTGATTTTAGGGCACATTTTCGTTGTTTTTGTTTTGT